GAAGTATTAAATCTTTTTCTGCAATTAGACGGATTATTGGTTGGATTTAAATTGCTGGAATGTTAAACACTGTTCTGCAATTATTTGGAATGGTTTGGATTGTAAATTGCTAAACTTTTATTTATATGTTGTAATTTACATGGTTTTGGATTTAAATTGCTGAAATACCAAATACTCTTCTGCAATTATTTGGAATGGTTTTGGACTGTAAATTACTAAACTATTATGTGTTTGTTGTAATTTACATGGATATGGAGGATTGTATGCACTAGCATGGGACGGTGACATACTAGGATGGCTTAGCTCAGAAACGCTAAGACCTACCCTATTGGAATAAGGGAATGAATTATAAATAAATCCTACTTATATTTATGCTAAGTCAAAGAAGCTGCACAAGCTGAATGACTACCTGGATTACTTGTTATCTATATTGAGTCAAAGAAGCTGCACAAGCTGAATGGCCAACTGGATTTCTTATGGATGTATTTGAACAAATTTTAAATATATTTTTATGGTACCACGATATGAGCTTGAGTCTCAAAGTCATTGGTTAGGGCGCGTATATGCAGTGGATGCGTAGCTGGCTATGATGGGTTGAGGTGTACCTTGTTAGGTCTAGGTACTCATGCCCACATTTGGGTGCGTTTTTGCATGTTGCCTTCTATCCAGGTTGAGACCCCCTATATAGTCTAGTGAATGTCCCTTAGTGTGGATATATATATATATATGGACTAGATAGCTAATATTGAGATATCTAGGGTGTATCTGCGTATCGGGTCACTGTATGGATTGCAGTTAGAATAGAATTTGCATGTGGGCCTTACCCACTCTTATTTTTACAGGAGTTCATCGGTTCCAGGCTTAGAGTTTGATCGTGCTGAGTAGATACAGTCATTCACTCCACCGACGATGTAGGATTTATTTCCATGTTTTAGACTTGGGTTTCTTCCCAGCTATGTAAATTTCAATTAGGATTTTTAGGGGTCCACTAGATGGATTCCCGAGTTGTATTTTTTGAGAACGACTTGTATCGGAAGATTTTGAATTATCAATGAGAGTTATAAGTTTATCGTTTTAGTTCTTTCAGCGTTTTTATTTATTTTTGTTTATCATATTTATATTCTGTGTTTGATTATTGCTAATTGATTTGATATCCTCGGGTAATCGGGCGTGGGCCTGGCCAACCCGCATCTGGAAATCCGGGGGTATCATAACACTCCTAAGGACACTTGAACCTAGAGTGCTCTGATACCAATTGTGATACCCCTGGATCTTCGGATGCGGGTTGGTCAGGCCCACGCCCGATTACCCGAGGATATAAAAACGAATCGGTAATAAACGAACACATAATACAATTAAGATAAACAGGAATAAATAAAATTTCTAAAAAGAAATTAAAATGATAATCCAAAAACTGAAACCTCATAATAAAATTCCATTAATATATAAACTCTTCTGATACAATTGATCCTCCATGAATACAACTCGGGAATCCATTTAGTGGACCCTTATTCAAAACCCAACTAAAGTTAAACTAAACAAAACAAGGAAATTCCAAAACTAAATATAACTAGCAGTCCTACGCAGTCGGAAGAGTGAGTGACCATCTCTGCTCAGCACGAATAAGCTCTAAAACTGGAACCATCCGATACCTAAAAAAAATAATAGTGGATTAGGCCCACGAACAAGTTCTATTCTAACTATAATCCAAACAAAGACCCGATATACAGATACATCCTAAATATCTCAACCATATCTATATAGTCTATAAATATATATATATATATATATATATATATATCCACACTACAGGACTCTCACTGGACTATAATAGGGATTTCAACCTGAATAGAAGGCAACATGCAAAAACGCACCCATAGGTGGGCATGAGTACCTAGACCTAACAGGGTATACCTCAACCATCATAATCAGTTACACATCCCAATGCATATACGCTCCCTAACCAATGATCTTGAGACTTAAGCTCATATCGCGGTACCATAATCATATATTTAAATTTCGTCCAAAATTAGAGTATGTTATTCAATTCTTTATTGATCTGACGTTTGACTTATAATCCGGTTAGCCACTGAACCTACTCAGTCGATCTGACTTAACCGCGAATAACAATAAATCCAGGTAGCCATTCAACTTACTCAGTCGATCTGACTTAACCACAAATAACAATAAATCCAGGTAGTCATTCAACTTACTCAATCGATCTGACTTAACCACAAATAACAATTAATCCAGATAGTCACTCAACTTACTCAGTTGATCTAACTTAAATATAAGTAGAATTCAATTTTTACAATCCATTTCCTTATTCCAATAGGATAGGTTATAGCGTTTTGAGCTAAACCATCCCTAGTATGCCACCGTCCCATACCAGTGCATATAATCCACAACATCCAGACAATTGACAAAATTTAATAAAATGGTTCAGCAATTGTAATCCAACACACAAATCTAGATAATTGAAAGAATATAAGTAAATAATTCCTCAATTAAAATCCAGGTTAACTTCTATGTAAATTACAGAACCTAAGTATTAGTTCAGCAATTTAAGTCAAAAACCAATAAACTGCAGAATTATAAATAACAGATTAGCAACTAAAATCCAAAACCATAACCCAGTTAATTGCAGATTAGTGTATAATAACTCCACAATTAAAATCCTAGCCTTAATCCATGTAATCGCATAAACAAGTTTAAATCTCTCGGCAATTAAAATTTTAGAATATGCATAGGTTAAGTCTGATAAATAAATGACCCTACTGTGCACCTAAAACAAGATTTACCATCATGCCGTAATCCATTAAATCGCTAAATTAAAATTAGGCGATTAAATCCATTCCATCCGTAAATAGCCTGCATAGTTACTTAATTTCATATCGATCATTCTATTCGCATAACTGTATAAACTATGCAATGAGAGTTTTAATAACACTTGAATTAAATGTTAAATACCCCCAGTTTATTTCCAGAACAATTCAAAACACTTAAACTGTCCAAACAGTGCACCCGAACAAACCCATAACGCATCAAAACATAGGAGCCTTCTCCATTCACTTGGGAGCCTTCTCCATACACTTGGGAGTCTTCTCCAAAACTTCTCATCTTCTTTGCCTCCGACGAAGTTCAGAGCCTCCGTATTGTTTCATTTAACTATCTAGGGTTTAATTTATGTCCCAGAATTAATTATATGCAGATTTTATACATCATCGACATGAATTAAAAGCAATTTAAAAATCAACTAAATCATGATTAAAACAAGAACATGTATAAACCATTAAACCTTTTAATTCAAAGCATTTAAATCCACTACAACCATACTTATAAGATCAGTTTTAACGTTTATTAAAACCCTGGTGACTACCTAGGCATGTACAGAACACAGGCTAATGGGAGATAAAAAGAAAAGAACTTGCCTCTGATTTCAGTTTTGAAACCTTAACGTTGTCTTCCTATGTTTTCCGGCGATTCTAATTGTCGTCAAAGCCCTGTGCTGAACTGTTCCAGCCTACACATAACCTCCCTTTCTTCCTCCTTGGTCGGATCTTGGACCTTTTCCAAAACCTTAGCCCTATTCTCTCAGTTTTTCTCACAATTCCCTCTTTGTTTATCTCTATGTCTCTGTACGCGAATAGGGTTCTAAAAACCCTTTGTAGACTTATAATAGTATATATATAGGCAAATATAAAAACCTAAGTCTACTTGTAATTAAAGATGGAAACCCAACTAAACCCTAGTCGGCCAACAACGTGATCCATAAAACTAAAACCCTAATTTAACATTACAATTAAAAATACTAATTTAATCCAATTCATTCCATTTAAATAAACTAATAAACCATATAAAACAATTAAAACAAGAAATTCAATTAAAGGAATTAAAATACAATGAAAGAAACAATAAAACAAAACAACAATTCAAACAAATAAATAAAATAAGAAATTAATTAATTAAAATAAATTGGCAAATAAACAAATAAACAATTAACATGAAGCCACACAAACAACTAAAATACAATAAAATAAAACAATTAATTTCCAATTATATCGTTTTGAAACTAGGGGTATTACACGATCTCTGTGAGATCGATCTGAGCTTGAGTTCGATCGATTATGAAAAGCTTCCTTTCACCACTTTACTCCTTCTTCCTTTAAGTTTGAGATTGCATCTTTTAATGCTCTAATTTGACTGAATTAACTTATTTTGGGGGTGGGTATGGGTGCTTGAGCAATACATGAGGTGGTGAATAGAGCCAGCAAAACGAGAAGTTTGATTCCGGTGGAACCCATTTCTAGAGAGAGAAGAAACACATTTACAGAGAAAGAGAGTAAGAGGGTTTGGGCTGAACTGGTGATTGTAAAGGGAGTTTATAAAAGGAGGAGAGGGAGAGAGAAAGTGGAGCTTGAGAGACGATTAATCAATAATTTCAGATTCTCGAATCATTAGATATAGAATATATATATAGGCGAATTATTCACGAATGGGGCTGTGTTTGGAAAGGGTTTTATTACTTTCTCTCCATTTCTTGGAAGTTTCCTCCAAGTTCAAACAGAGTATTAGAAACAGAATATTATGGGTTAATATTGGTTAATAAACCTCCAATTTAGATCATATTTGGGATTGACACCGCCTAAACCTCCATTATCATATTTGGGATTGACAATAGTTGGGAAAGAAGTTAATGGAGGTTTGTTAATAACTTCTGTAGATGGGTTGGGAGCTTCCCTATTTGTGAAGAAGATGAACAGTAATATATGGGCACGGGGCTATATTTGGGTAGAGGACAATTACGTTTAGGTAGTGTTTGGGATAAAAGAGTCATTTTATATGGTCTATATTTATATTTATTAATTTATTTTATTAAAATAAAAATATTATCATTATTTTATACTACACAGGATTTATTTGCATGGAATTTATAATACTAGAAAATTTTTTATCACACAAAAACTGATATGCAATTTATAACCTGAGGGAAAATTTTTCCACTTAATCCTTCAAGCAAACATAATTTTGACGTAAATTGGGGATACAATTTTTAGAAACTTGTACTGTTTCGTTTGTCGTCGTTTCTCAGCCTCACGCACACAGAACAAGTAAGAGAGATGATGAATAGACTTACAGACGACCTCGTGACCGACATTCTCTCGAGGCTGGTCATCAAAACCCTCATGCGATGCAGGTGCGTATGCAAACTCTGGCGCAATTTAGCACGCGACCCTCGATTCATTCACTCCCACCTCAACAATCGATCCTCCCAGCGAAGCCCTAGTTTCATTCTCAGCACTACCATCTGGTTCGATTCCGCCTTCCGCAGCCAAATATACTTTCTAGAACACGACGAAACCCTGGGTTACAGTTGTGAAGAGGTCAGTTTTTCAGTACCCGATCTCAAAGAGTTCCGATTAATCAGTTCATGTAATGGTCTCTTCTGTTTAGTTCATCGCATGTGCAGAAATATAATTTATGTATGCAATCCTTTCACTAGATGTTGCACTAAACTTCCTAATCGGATTAACCCATCACAGAATATTCTGGGAACGATAATGGGTTTTGGATTTAACCCAAAAAGAAACGAATATAAGGTAGTAGAGGTTGTTCATTGCTCTGGATCTGCCATGGCTTCTGAATTTCATTCTCGGGTTTATGTACACACTTTAGGTGATGGGTCTTGGAGAGGTAAAGGGTATGTTCCTTGTTTAATCCCTCGGGAACCTGCTTCTTCGGAAGCATTTGTGTGTGGAGCTCTTCATTGGCTATGTTTATCCCCTGCCAAGCAAATTGCTTTTTTTGATATTACAAATGAAGCATTTGGATTCATACCGTTTCCTGAAATTGCAGTAGGTGGTGGTGGAGGTAGTTTATCATTGGCATTAATGGATGGATGTCTTTCTATCACGGGCTCTGCATTTCATGACCATATTGATTTGTGGATTATGAAGGATTATGGTGTTAAGGAGTCTTGGGTTAAATCTTTCTCCATATGTTTTAATCAGGTTATGTGGAACAATTTTCAAACTCCGTGCATTCAGGGAAATGGAGAACTTTTGATGCTGTATAAGAATCAAGCTTTGTTTTCTTATAGTCCCCGGACTATGACATTGAGGAAGCTTAGAATTGCAGGGCTTCCATCTTGGTTTGAAATGGTTAACCATGTAGGGAGCCTTGTTTCTGTTTCGGGCCGTTAAAGAAACAAAAGAGAATATTGAGAGCTCGAGGTGAATGGAGCTGGAATGTTGAATGAAGATGCAAGGAAATTGAGGCCAATCACAAGGATTATTGTTGTGTTCTCCTTGAAGAAGACGTGTGGTTGGAGTGTCGCATAGTTTATGATCTTTTGAGTTAGGGGTGAAGTAGCCAAGGTTTATAGGGTTGCTTCGGGTTCATTTCCCATCAACTGCTGTAGTGCGGCATCAGAGACCTGAGTTTGTAAACCTTTCTTTGAACTTATTCGTGCTTTTGTTTTCTAATCTTACCTTACTGAAAGTAGAAAATATGGTATTTCTATTTGATATATATATATATATATATATATAGGTGTGTGTTTCTGTGTGTGTGTTAGAATCAAACTGAAGGCAGTAGTAATAGCTGTGCTTTGTAGTTCTTACTGCAGGTAGGTGGTCCATTACAAAGTTTTACTCGTATGAATTATTGTTTAGCCTAAGCACACTCGATTGTCATTTATCTATAATTAGCATCCAAGTATAAACTTATTTGGCTCTTTATGAATTGTTTCAGTTTATGCTTCCAGGTTGGAAACATGAACTTGAAACAAATTCAATTTCGCATTATTATGAATGTTGGATGCCAATTACCAGGGGCCGAAAAGAAAGAAGATGAATTTGTAGGGTAATTGTTAATTGCTTGTTTCAAAGCACTCTAACTAATCTTTTCGTTCTTTTTGCTGGACTACAAAACACTAATTATCCAGCTGACTTGTAATTTTAGTCGGCTTTTTTCATTTACTTGAAATTAGTGGAATAAGACACAACAAAATAATTCACTTCTATTTTTCCAAATATAGCTCATTTCTCCATTGTTTTAATTTAATACACTCATTGATTTATGAAATACTCTTTATTTACAAATATCCTTCTTATTACATCTACTTTATGAATCTCTATTTTTAAAAACAAATTAAACTATAATTTATTTTCATTCTATTAGTTCGAATCCATTAGCATTCCTTTCTATTCTCATAGAACCACGGATGTCGAGCTATTTTTCTGCTGGACCTCCCCTACAGTATCGTGACCGCAGTAGACAAATTCATCTTCTTTCTTTTTGGCCCCTGGTAATTGGCATGCTTCATTGTTTATTTTGCCTTTTTCAAATCACTCTTCACTAATCTTTTATTTCCTTTTGCTGGAATACAAAACACTAAATTATCCATCCGACTTGTAATTTTAGTTGGCTTTCCCTATTACTTGAACAGTGGAATAAGACACCACAAATAATTTTTTTACTTCTGTTTTTCCATCTTTGGCAAATTGAAATTTGTAAACGTTTACTGGAATACTTGGTCATTTTTTCTTTTGTCTAGTTGATTGCAAGTGAGGCAGGAAATAGTTCTTGAATAGTTTCAGATTTAAATGCCCAACTGTACTAAATTTTGGTCGTGAATTTTGAACTTGTTGATCATTTGGTCCCAAACTACTGTAGGTTGTTAGCTGTACTTCATTACACCACTAGAGGAATGGACTTACAGTGCTCTTCTTCCTAGATTATGTTCTCTGTCCATAATTTTCCTTTACTGCTTGGGAAGTTATCATGAACTAATAAGAGAATGTAACAGTTTGAACGAAAGATGCTAATATTATACTCAACTTTTATTGTTCCTTCTGTTGCGGATTATTTAGCTTTAAGAAAGTTCTGGCTTGTCTCTGAACATCTGCAATTCACGTTATTCTGCATTTTTGGACCAAGTTGATGGCAATGAGCTTTGGAAGATCAAGTAAATTTCATCATCAGAATATTACAGACGCACCGATCTTGGCCTTCCACATTTTTTGATTGGATTGTTACAGGGGGAAGACGTTGCAGTATTAAGTGTTATTCTCCAACTTGTACCAGTGAAAACACATTAAGGCAGCATTGAGCTCAATGCTTCTGAATAAGTACAGTATAGTTGAAGAATTTTAGTTGTGGCAGAAAATCTGTGCATATAAGCCTCCTCACCAGATGGTAGAGTACGAAAACAGTTCGATTGAAGGAACACTACATTGCTGAATGTTATCTCATAGTAATTTAACATACATATTGGGCGGGCCAGCTGAGGTTGGTTGGACTGAAGTATATTATGGTTCCCATATCTGAGGAGCTAGAGGTGGTTGTGAAGTAGCTGAAGAATCAGAGCTTATGTTAGGTGATGGAGCACATCCTTCTTGACGTGTTGGTTTGTTTAGAGTATGCCCAGGTGTGTATTTCTACATATATATATCTACACACACACACACACACAGTAGTGTTGTCTTGCACCACGGGGAGCAAGAAAATTCATCCACACTTTCTAAATTTTAATTTTCTCTTTACTTTTATTGTTATTTTATTAGCCCCACACAAATTAGGGTTTTCGAGTTTCCAACAACTAAACCCTATACACACGAATTCAATAGAGATAGATAGGATGGATAAAGTTGAAGATGACAACATTGTCATCCACATACTCACAAGACTGCCAGTCAGGTCCCTCATGCGATGCAGTTGTGTATGCAAACGCTGGCACAACTTAGCACGTGACCGTCAATTCATTCAGTGTCATCTCAATCGATCAGCCCAAGAAAATTCTAGTCTCATTCTCCAGGGTACCTGTGGGAATAATCTACCTCAATGAACACAACCAAGCACATGATTACACTTGTACAAAGGTCAGACTTCACCCATCTATCTCCAAAATATTGATGCAGTACTTCTAATCAGTTCTTGTATTGGTCTCTGTTTGATCTGTTTCGCAACAAAATGAAAATTTTCTATGTATCTAATCCTATCACCGGATCTTATCTTAGACTCCACGACCTGATCAACCCGAAATTCGAAGCATGGAATACTCGCATTGAAGTTGGATTTTACTCTGAAAGTAACGAATGCAAGGTAGTTGTGATGTGTACATGCGATAACTATACGCAGCCGGAGGTTTTTGTGCACACTGTGGGTACAGATGGGTGTTGGAGAGGTATGGGGTATGTCCCTTGTGTAATTAAATCGCAATTGTGTAATACATATTGTTCGTATATGGTAGTATTCGTGTATTGATCTCTTCACTGGATTTGTTCATCCCCTCTAAACCATATTGTCAGCTCCAATATTGCAAATAAAGTATTTGAAGTCATACCACCCCCTGAAGAAATTCTCACTGCAGGTGGTTGTGTATATAGTTTCTTCTTGGCCTAGTTAAAAGGATGCATTTCCGACATAGACCACTCCTTTTTTGACCGGGTCGTGTTATGGATCATGAAGGATTATGGGGTTAAGGAGTCTTGGACTAATTTTTCTTCCAGTAAATTTTATGCAGATCGGCCGGATAATGGGCAATTTTGATAAGACTTATCTGAGGCTTGATTCAAGAATCAGCAAGGTTAAGGTTCTATGACATCAGAAAAAGGGCGAACTTTTGATGTTAGATAATCATACGCTTTTGCAGTCTTATAATCCACAAACCATGGCATTGAGGAAACTTAGCATTGAAACCGGGCTTCCATCTTGGTCTGAAGCACTCACTCATGTGGGGAGTCTTGTTTCATTTTCAGGCTGTTCTAAGGACATGAAGTATATTAGCGGTGCGTTATACTCCCTCCGTCCCATAAAAAGTGTTACTCTTAGAAAATCGTGACTCACAAATTGAACTGTCATTGTTTCCGAAACACGACACTTTTTTTGGGACGGAGCTAGTAGTTGTTACGGTAGGTAAGCTATTTGTTTCAAATTTCTACTGATCATATCCTATAATATGTTGGTATTGTAACTATTGTTTAACCTGAGCACAATTGGTTGACATTGATCTACAGTTTTACTTGATTTATGTATGTGCTTTGATTCTAGTTCAATGTTTTTTTACTGATATTTAATTGCGTTGATCAAATGGTAAAGTATTTTAGAACCATATGAAAATTATGTCCCACAAGAATCTAAAAGAAACTACTGATGTAATGATGTATTTTTATTGAGGGGTACGTTTAAGAGCAAGAATCTGTCTCCCATACTAAACTTGTTATCCATTCCTCATGTACATATTTAATTTAGTGTCCATTTTTTATCCAAAAATAAGTTTGGAATGTCAACAAGTGAGTAAATGGATAAGATTGAATTGTTTTTACTTATTTATCTGTGCATTTCTCCACCTCGATTGTACATTCTTTATAATATCATTTTAAATAAATTAAAACGAGCATACATACCATTTTGTTATTTGATGTATGGGAGGAAACTAATGGTATTATTTTAGAAGAGATTGGTGCGATGGTGTAAGGAAAATTATGGAGATGAAAAACCTACTCCTATAAAAGAACCTGTAATTATAGTTGCATGTGTCATCAACTTTTAAAAAATTATACTTTTGTAAGCATAATTTTAAAAAATTTAAAATTGCCCCCCTCAACCAAAAAAAAAAAAAAAATTTGCATTTTTGTATGTATATTTTTTTTGAATTTTAAAATTGTCCCCTCTCAACTTTATATATATATATATATCTCTTTAAATTACCTCAAACTGCTAAAAAATTATATTTTTTTATGTATAATTATTTAAAACTTTAAAATTATCGTCACAAATTTTTATTGCATTGTGTCCTGATGATAATTTCTGGCACTACTCGTGCCAGCAATATATTTTGCATCTCAATCACAATAACAAACAACATGTTATTTGTTACAATTTTTTTTTTTTTTAATTATTTCTAATTTTATTTTATTTATTTATTTATTTTTTTTTCAAGACAAACAACCAAAGCACAAAGCCTAAAAGGCACACAAACAACCTCAACTACCAAGGCAACCTATAGAACACTTGACTAATAAAAGGTTGAGATCTAGAGAGCTTTGCGATCCCATGCTTTAACGAATTTGTAGTTCAACGAACATGAGTGACCCGTGCAACAGGAACTGATTTCAAAATAAGCTGAATGTCATGAACAAGAGCTGAAATAGTTGCAGGGCAACGGCGGATACCCATCACAGTCTCGCATATGATGAGAGAATCACTCTCCAAACATAAATTGTGAAAGCCAAAATCACGAGCCCAAAATAAAGCATCCCTCGTGACAAAGGCTTTAGCAGAAAGGGCTGAAAATGCTAAAAAGACCTTAGCACGACCACGCGCAAAACAACTCCCAGATGGTCTCTGAAGACAGGACCACCCCCCAACCCATCCTTTACTGGCTAAGAAGGCTGTGTCCATATTACATTTAATTGAATTTACTTTCGAAGGCGACCACACAATAGAATTTGAGAGAAGCGTGGGAGAGCAATGCCGATAGCCAAGCTGTGGAAACTGATTAGCATCACGAAACTCCCAAAAAGCTGTAACGGCTGAAGAGACAATCTGTTGAGGGCAAGGGAACCTACCATGAAAAACCAAGTTATTTCGCGCTTTCCAAATTGCCCATGCAACAAAAGAAGCCATACTACTAACATCAACCCCTTTTACATACAACAATCCACCACTCATCAAAAGAACAGAAACCCCAAGTCCGACAGTCCAAACGAAGCAGAGAAAGTGTCCAAACTTGGATAGACATTGAGCAGCGAAAAAGCAAGTGCTCCACCGTTTCAGGATCATCTCCACAAAAAGAACAACAATCCACTTCAGACAACCCCTGATGCTTCAAAGCAGCCCTTGTTGGGAGCACCCCATGAACACATTGCCAAAGAAAATGCTTAACCTTTGGGAGGCACTGACATTTCCAAATAAAGTTCCAGCACTTAGGATTAACAAAAGAATGGGTCATCGGATGACTAGAAAGAGAAAAAGCCACATGGTACGCCGATTTAACAGAGAAGTTGCCATGATCAGTGAACGCCCAAACTTAGCGATCCACATAACCTCACAAACTAAATGGAATACTCTTAAGATTAGCAGGAAACAGTTGAAAGAGGAGTGGGAGGTTCCATAAGAGATGGATTAACACACGACAAAGAGTCAAAGGATGGCACCCAAAAATCATTCCAAATGCTGATAGATTTACCATCACCCACAATCCATTTAAGCCCTTTTTTAAGGATAGGCTTTGCGGACCAGATGCTTTGCCACGCCCAAGATGGATTGGACCCCAAACTTGTTTCCATAAATGAACAAGAGTGGAAATATTTTGCCTTGAACAACTGAAAATCCAGACCTTGACGAAGGACTTGAAAATTCCACGCTTGCTTACTAACAGGGCAGAGTTGTACGCACCCATATCACGAAACCCCAAACCTCCATTTTTTTTACTCAAACATAGCGTGACACAGTTAGACCAGTGAACAGATCTAGAGTCCAAGTTTATTTCGCCACCAAAATGCACGAATCAGCTTCATAATTTCGTTACAGAGGTTAGCTGGTAAGCGGAAACAGGACATAACATACGTCGGTAAAGCACTTAAAACTACCTTGATAAGCACCTCATTACCACCTTTCGAGAGACATTACGCTTTCCATGCTATTAAACGATTTTGAACTTTCTAGGACACAAAATGAAAAACATCAGATTTTGAGCGCCCAATAATGGTCGGCATCCCCAGATACTTAGCTTGCAATCCTTCCTCCCCAATACCTAAGATCTGACAAAGTCGCCTTCGACGCAATTGACTGGTATTTTTAGATAATAAAATTGAGGATTTAGAAAAACTCACCATCTGCCTCGAAGCTTTCTCATAAGCTGAAAGAATACGTTTGACTGAATCCACCTCGGAATTATTTGCTTGGCAAAAGATAAAAGAATCATCGGCAAAAAGCAAGTGAGACAACGGAGGGGCACGCCGACAAATTCGAACACCTGTCAAAACTTTCATGTGCATAGCCCTGTGAAAAGCTTGGGATAAGCTCTCTGCACAAAGAATAAACAAGTAAAGAGACAATGGGTCTCCCTGTCGCAGACCTCGGGAAGGTTTAAACAGACCCACTGGTCTCCCATTAATGACAATGGAATAAGAAATAGAAGAGATGCATGTAGAAATTAAATGAATCCAGTGGCGATTAAACCTTATCCATCATAATAAATCAAAAAGAAATGACCATTCAACACGATCGAAAGCCTTACTCATGTCCAGCTTTAACGCCAAAAAAAACAAGTCCCCTTTTCTTTTATTTTTGAGCTAATGAAGAACTTCATGAGCTACTAGGATATTATTAATCGACTTCGATTCTTGAATAATCCACATCACTTCTGCTTCTATTGTAACAAAAGATTAGTGATTTGCCGCCCCGAGACAAAAGCGCTCTAAGTAGAGCTAATACAAGAATCAAGAACTGATTTTAAACGATTTGCAAACACCTTTGCTATAATTCTATAGGCCACATTACATAATGAAACAATATCATTCTTAACCAATGTTTAGTACTGTTGATAGAATAACGAGGTCATACCGTCAGGTTCTGGGGATTTGAAAGGCGCCATCGAAAAAATTGCATTTTTCACCTCTGACTCCGATAAAGGACACAAAAGCTATTGATTCATTTTCGCCGTGACGGTGGGAGGAATATATTTTAGGAATTGCTCCATAGAGGAAGTAGAAGGAGATTGAGATGTGTAGAGCTGCTGAAAATACGACAGAAAAATAGATTGCATGCCCATTTCTTCAGCAATCCAACGACCATTGGTGTCTTCAACTCCCGAGATCCGATTTCGAGATCGACATTTTAAAGTAGTGGCATGGAAGAATTTGGAATTTCGATCCCCCTGTTGAAGCCATTGTACATGGGATTTTTGCTTCCAAAACATTTCTTCATCTTGCCAAAGCTTATTAAGAGACTTCTCAGCTGCAACAACCTGATCATGGTTATACTGCGACAAATTTTCTTTCAAACCCATCAGCTGAGCTTCAGCTTCTAAAATCTGCCGACGAGAATTTTGGTTGATTCGCTTTGCCCATGCCTCCAAGTGATCCTTACAGAATTTCAACCTAGCCACCCAACAAAATAACCGAGAGCCGTGGATAGGAGTTTTCCAAGCTACAGAATGTTATTTGTTATAATTTTTTATTTCTAAACTAGATGGCAAAAACTGGGACAAAAAGTGTGTGAGTGTTGGGTAAAGAGTGGTGTTTGGTGTGTTTATTGCTGATAGCCTATGAAACACCGACACGTTAATATGTAGCACCGTACCAGTTTTGGACACGTGTCCAAGCTCTGGACACGTGTCGGGCACGTGAAAAACGTATGCCCATTATTTTATATTTTTTTTGGGATCAGACACGGCCAGCAACACCTCATGGACACGCTGGAGGACATGACGATCGCCGATCAAGCTTCAAAAAAAAAAAAGAAAAAAGAAAAAGATGATACATGTGTGTGTGTGTGTGTTTTAATTCTTTATAACAATTGACTTGAGAACTGAGAACGTGAAGGGCAGAGAAAGAGATGGAGCAGATCATGAGACATAGATGGAAAGGAAGATAAGAACATGCGATTAAAAAAGAAGGGGAAAAGATATCAGAACGATCGAATACGACTCTCTCTTTCTTCGATGTGGCCCAACTCTCTGTCTCTCTCTCTCAGTTTGATGTGGCAGAATAACCTACAAGGTCTTAGATGTGACAGAATGACCTAGAAGTTTGCTCTATGGGCCGTCTCTCTATGGCCATACTTTTTTAATCATTTCTTTTGGGCCTATTGACTACAGCTTACTAAAGCTTGTCTACTTGCATGTATTTTTAGCCTAGGCTAAAGCCCACCTTATTATCTACATTATTATATATAATTGATTAATCTTTCAAAAATAAAAATAAATAAAGAAATATGAGATGTATGGTGGGAGTGTGGAACTAATTTAAATAGGTTATATTTATGAATATAAATGAGAAATTGAGAAATGAATAATTTCTTTTATATAGTAATAAATTATATTATTATTTTATTGTCATATCCTT